TGCCTTCATCCAAACAGTACCTGCTGAAGCATCCCTGCAATCTATGCCCCTTATTCCATTCCCTTCGGCACTGCTACTAAACTCTGTAATTACTGTTCCCCTCCATGGCTTTCATGTGAGTTTTAAGGCCGCGTTCTTCAGAGACAGCAGTGGCAGCGTTAGACTCTGTTTGGTTTGCCTGAGTGCTTGGAATAACTGAGTTTGCTGGGGTTTTTTTGTTTTTTTTTTATAACATGTGTCCAAGTGCACCACACAAATTACATCCCACACGAGCACCTCCAACAGAAGTCCCATGTTTAAATCCTTTTCTTCTTTTAGGCTGGGGAAGAGTAACTATTCTTACCCAAGGGCTTATATCTTTCAGGACTCCGATTCCGCACAAACTCATCTGCAACGTCAGTAGCATACAAAATAGAAGTGGGCTTTTTTAATCCCAGGGAGCAGTACAGATCTCATCTGGTACCAAATTTAACACCTATTCAAGTGTAGTTAATTACATTAATTGTTCAAAATTACCCCAAGATTTTACACCAGTAGTCCACTTCCTGACAAAAAAAAGCAAATATGATTCTGGGACGCATTAACAGGAGTGTTGTGAGCAAGACTCAAGCAGTCGTCATTCTGCTCTACTCTGTGCTGATTAGGCCTCAGTTGGAGTATTGTGTCCAGTTCTGGGCACCGCATTTCAAGAAAGATGTGGAGAAATTGGAGAAGGTCCAGAGAAAAGCAAGAAAAATGATGAAAGGTCTAGAAAACAGGAGCTATGAGGCAAGTCTGAAAGAACTGAGTTTGTTCAGTTTAGAAAAGAGAAGACAGAGAGGACATGGTAGCAGTTTTTAAGTATCTAAAAAGGTGTTGCAAGGAGAAGGGAGAAAAATTGTTCTCCTTGGCCTCTGAGGACAGGACAAGAAGCAATGGGCTTAAACTGCAGCAAGGGAGGTTTAGGTTGGACATTAGGAAAAACTTTCTGTCAGGGTGGCTAAACACTGGAATAAATTGCCTAGGGAGGTTGTGGAATCTCCATTATTGGAGATACTTAAGAGCAGGTTATATACACATCTATCAGGGATTATCTAGATCAGTGGTTCCCAAACTTTTTTTATATCGCAGACCGGCATACCCATTCACAAACTTTTGGCAGACTGGAAACAGTCTATTTCCATATTTATTATGCAAATAATAAATATGCAAATACGCAAATACAATGTTTCCAGTCTGCCAAAAGCCCCAGCCCCCAGAGCTCTCCAAGTGTCAGCCCCCCACCTCTTAGAGCCCCCAGCCCCAAAACCCCCTCACCTAGCCCTGCGCTGCTTCCCAGCCGTCAGCCGAGCGCTGCTGTCCAGGTCTCAGCTGCTCTAAGGCTGCGCGCAGCAAATCGTGCTTTCGTGTCAGGGAGGAGCGCCCACCCCTCTGGTTGGCTGAGAGCCGGGTAGGACATGTCTCTTTCAACAGCCATGACGGAGGGGAGATGCTGGGCGGTGTGCTCCAGCCCCCAGAATCGCCAGCAGTTCACAGCCCAGCACCGGGCCTCGGACTGGTGGTTAGAAACTGCCAATCTAGATGGTGATTAGTCCTGCCAGGAGGGCAGGGGACTGGACTTGATGGCCTCTCAAGGTCCCTTCCAGTTCTAACATTCTGTGATGCTACATAAATACCATTCAACATTTTAAAATTTCTAAATGTTCCCCTGTACATTTCAGAGGAGACCTTGAAGCATTTTAATACAATATCTTTATATTTTACACCATTCCAAGCTTCATCCATATCCATTTCATTAAACGCTCCCCTGGTTTTCCCAGTCAAACTGGGACATACACTGTTCCTCTGGGACATGGTGAATTTCACACAGATGCTGAAAAAGCAGACGGAAATTCCTTTTTGTCTTCAGTATCTTTGTAAGCAGGGCAAATCCCTTCCCCATTTTGTTGTCTAGAGGAGATGGATTCCCTGCTGGCAGTGATTTTCTCTATTCTTCCAACATTTTAAGCTGGATTCTGGTTGCATCTATTGCTCAAAAATGCTTCCGGAATCTTTTTCGTTCCTCTCTATTGTTACAGACGTTTGCCGACAAGTATTTTGAAATAAATCACCAAAATAATTGCAGCGATCGCGAGTACACTGCTGTTCTTACGCCAGATTTTAAAATACTTCGTCAGACCATTTTTAAGTACAGAATTCCTCCAGGAGTAATGCCTCCCTCTCCCTCCGAGCGCATCCGGAGCACCCCATCCCCGCTTCCCCTACTCCCTCCCACAGCTTGAATGCTGCGAATCAGCTGGGATAGGATAGCATAAATGTTTCTTTATTATTCAGAGTCGATGACAGTTCTGTTAAAATATGAATGGCTGAAGCATTTCTCCTTGTTTCGAAATATTTAGCATGCCACGTATGAACGTGTTTGATCTTATTCTCGGGGTCATGGTAAGCGCACAGGACTGATTTCAATCTTGCAGTCCACTGAGATGAAGGAGACCCACTCATGCATCCCACACACAAGCCAGCCCACTGCTACCTTAGAACATTTTGGTTGGTTCACTTGAAAGATTTACACTTCACACTAGCTGTCTGAAGCCATCAGCTTCTTTAAGGGCAAAGAAACATCCGGTTGGACAGACCTTTGTTACACAGTTAATATTTTTCCTCTTTCGAACAGACAGCCTGGGCAACTCCTAACTGCCTGCTCTTCCACACCCTGCTCAGTAGAGTCTCCTTCCCTGCCCCACAGTCTCTCCTGGGCATCACGGAGACAGAAACAAATTAATGGAGATTGCCTATCTCCTAGAACTGGAAGGGACCTTGAAGGTCATCGAGTCCAGTCCCCTGCCTCCACAGCAAGACCAAGTACCATCCCTGACAAACTTTTGCCCCAAATCCCTAAGTGGCCTCCACAAGGATTGAACTCACAACCCTGGATTTAGCAGGCCAATGCTCAAACCACTGAGCTATCCCTCCCCCCAAGCAGCTCCTGACCTGCATCTGTGGGTGCTGTGCCGGGCCCCCCGGCCGCCAGAAGCCCCTCAAGCCCTGGCAGTGGCAGAGAGGCGTTGGTGTGGGTGCCCTGGTGTCGGGTGAGGCTGGCCAACTGCAAAAAGAGCTTGCCACACTCGGCACAGCGGTACGGCTGCTCCCTGCTGTGCATGTGCTGGTGTCTCCCGAGGTGCGAGCTCCGTGCAAAGCTCTTGCCGCAATCCATGCACTGGAAGGGCCGCTCCCCGGTGTGCGTGCGCTGGTGCCTGCTCAGCGCGCTGGCCCTGCTGAAGCTCTTGCCGCAGTCGTGACAGCTGTACGGCCACTCCTCCGTGTGCACGCGCTGGTGCGTTCTCAGGCCGGAGAGGTACGCTGCTGGTGTCTCCCGAGGTGCGAGCTCCGTGCAAAGCTCTTGCCGCAATCCATGCACTGGAAGGGCCGCTCCCCGGTGTGCGTGCGCTGGTGCCTGCTCAGCGCGCTGGCCCTGCTGAAGCTCTTGCCGCAGTCGTGACAGCTGTACGGCCACTCCTCCGTGTGCACGCGCTGGTGCGTTCTCAGGCCGGAGAGGTACGCGAAGCCTTTGCCGCAGGCGGCGCCGCGGAACGGGCAACCCCCCACATGCCGGGT